CCCAAGCCATTTAGGGCTTTAAAGGTAATAACCAACACCTTGTACTTCCAACACCATCACCATGCTAACTTCATTTTGGATGCACTAATGGACTGCAATGTTTACCACTGCAGATACAATTGAACAAACCCATACACATACATACGTACACATGGAACTTAAGAGATGTACACATGATGTCTGCCCATCTACGTCCATTATACAGCCAACAATCCTGAGCCTCTCCATGACACAAAATCATGGAGGATGGGCATTTATCAGACTCCCACTCCAAATGGGTTGCAGTGAGCAAAAAACAAAAACAAAACAACAAGAAGACAGCCAGCATTGGAAGTTGATTTTAAAATAATCATTTGATACACATGGACAATGAACACAACACTATTGTGCACATGCACAACGTCCAGGTACATTTGCCAATATGCTAATCTCAGTCCCTGGAGGGGTACATTGTTCCTTCCATGCAACCATTGTACAACCCCAATACATGTCTATACACATTGTATTGATGCAGCAAGAAGTAATGCATATAATAATGCATATTTCTGCATGCTTTCATTTTTGAGACCCTGATTCTGTCTCTTAATCACATGGAGACAGTGGTATCACTAGATCATGCGAGGAGTGTGGCCCACACTGGATGATACCATCAGATAGGGCATCAGTGAGGCGTCCCAAAGCCCTTCTCTGAGAAAGAAAGGGGAGAAACTTGGTATGCACTCCCCAAGGGAGATGAAGATGGGGGTTAGGCCACAGATCTTTTTCTCTGCTCCTCCCTCCTGCAGTTTTCCTCTCCCAGTGGCTCCTTTCTGTTGTTCTCGGGAAGGACCTTTTACTGTTACTTCCCTTTTCTTTGAGGGTAGAGATCTTTTGTAATTAAAAAACTGTTATTGATCAAGAGGGTGTCCTGTCTTTGCTGTCTTGGCTGGGGGGGGGACAATAACAGTGGCAGGATGCTCGATTCCCCAGGGTGAGACCCTCCTCTCCATCCACAAACCCATCCCAGGAGATCCATGGGATGTCACCATGAGTTACTGCACTAGGTGACACCAACTCTAGTAATGCCACTGAATGGAGATACTTGTCTGCATATGTACATATACCTAGGAAACACATGTACACCTCATACTGGTTTATAAATACAGGCTACATATACAAACACAGTGTTACCGTTCATACAGTATGTTTATGGCCATTTCATAGAAGCTGTTGCGGTTGCTGATGCTGTGTACCTTCAAGTCATTTTGGACTTATGGCGACCCTAAGGTGAACCTATCATGGGACGTTATCACACGTGGGCCAGAAAGCGATAATAAAGTGGA